TCTCTCTCTCTCTCTCTCTCTCTCTCTCTCTCTCTCTCTCTCTCTCTCTCTCTCTCTCTCTCTCTCTCTCTCTCTGCCAATAGGGTTGGGAATGAAGATCCCTCCGAACACGTTCACAGTGATGGACGTGAAACAGTGTGTCGGCTCCCGACGCGAGTTGGATGTGATGGACGTCGAAACGCAGCGCGACTTTACGATGTCGATGAAGGAGTGGTGCGAATACTATAACAAACCCGATAGGGATCAGCTCTTGAACGTGATATCGTTGGAGTTCTCGCACACCAAACTGGAACAGCACGTGGACTCGCCATACATTGTCAAACAAGTGGATTGGATTGATTGGGTGAGTGGTGTCCACATGTATTGGACATACTTTGGTCGCCATTTTTGTCTCATATTAATGGTTGTATTTTGATGGCCACAGGTTTGGCCAAAACATCTGAAACAATCGCAAACGGAGGGCACGAATATCATCGAAGACATGAAGTATCCGAAAGTACAAAAGTATTGTCTAATGTCAGTGAAGGGCTGTTACACCGACTTTCACATCGACTTCGGGGGCACTTCCGTGTGGTATCACATACTGAAGGGTCGGAAAGTGTTTTGGTTGATCCCACCCACGGAACGCAATATACAACTGTACGAACAGTGGGTGCTATCGGGCAAACAGTCGGACGTGTTCTTCGGCGATCAGGTGGAGCACTGCGCGCGCGTCCATCTGGAGGCCGGCTATACATTCTTCATACCCACGGGTTGGATACACGCCGTGTTTACGCCCGAAGACTCGCTCGTGTTTGGCGGCAATTTTCTCCACTCGTTTAGTATTGAGAAACAGTTACGCGTGGCTCAGGTCGAGGACGTGACCAAAGTTCCCGGAAAATTCCGGTACCCTTTCTATACGGAAGTGCTGTGGTATGTGTTGGCCCGCTATGTCTTCTGTCTCATGCATAAGAATCACCTCAAGTGCAACGAAGACGGCGTCACTATTGTTAAGGACACCGACGGCACCGGTATGTAGTGCTTGTGTGCGGTTTTGAGTGTGTTTTTGTAGGGTTTTAATCGTTTTTCTCTTGTTTTTTGTCTGGTTTTTAGAGACCAAAAGTGTGTTGAGTTGTCCGCCACAGCCGTCGGCCAAAAGCAACGTTAACCTAACGCCGTACGAGTTGTCGGGCCTGAAGGCCACCATAATGTGGTTACAGAAACTGCCGGCCCATAAGCGCTCATTGCCTGATCTCATAATATCGGCCGACGCCCTCCTGAGCGACGCACAGATACTCATCGACGATCACAGCCAAGACTCGCATCAAATGGCAGTCACAGGCCGTCCGGTGCTCTTCTGGACAAAGAAGCCGACGACTGGACTGTCGTTGACATCACAATTGCGGCAAATGAAGAACCCGTCGCTCGTATTGAAACAGTTGCGCAACAAAGAGGCCTCTCTGGCCGCCAACGCGGCGGCGCCCGTCGCCAGACCCGAGTCGCCCCCAACTCGTCCTATCAGTTCAAATCAGTACACCATTAGCTCCGGTTCCACATTAAATGCGGTATTGGTTTCTCATTATTTTGTTGAGTATTTGTTTTAATGATTCGGTTTATTGGTGTCTTAGGATCTGATCCCGAGTTCGTTCGCTGGTCTCATTGCGCAGACCGGTGTCAATCACTTCCAGCCGTTTTCTCCCATTACAAACAGTCCTATAATGAGTGCTATTGGGTCTCCGCTCACTTCAGCGCCGCCACCGATGGTCTCGCCATATATGCCGACAGCTCTTCCGCCGCCGCCACCATTGATCTCAAATCCAACCATTAATCCCATGTTTAACCACTCATACCAAACGACGCCGACAAACGGTACTCAAAGTGTTCACACGTATACCAAAAGTACGGATCAACTAAACGATCATAACATGAATTTGGTGGAGAAGAAGCCGCCGCTGAATGTGGCGATTAGTGATCACAATAATCATAATCTAAACAAAAGCTTTACCACAACTGCCACACAATCGCAACAAAGTTTCGCAAACTATTTCATAAACAATTTAAACCACAAACCAAATCACTCGCCGCCCATCTATTCGGCCGCCGAAACACAGACACAAACCACAACTGTGTCGCCGACGGCGCGTCCCTTCCCGGCTGCGGTCCCGCCGTCGGGCTTCCACTCGACAGGCATTCAAAGCGAGCCGTTTGTCAATAAAATGGTCAACTCGTCGACCCAATCATCACTGCCCATAACTGTGGCCGCCGGCGGCGCAGCCAATCAGAAGCTGTTTGTGTCGACAGCGGCCGGAACTAACACAAAGTCGGCGTCCAATGACTCGTCCCGTCGGCGGCGGACGCGTTGCAAGAAATGCGATTCCTGTCTGAGAGCCGATTGCGGCGAATGTCACTTCTGTAAGGATATGAAGAAGTTTGGCGGACCCGGTATGCGATGTCTTATGTCTTAAACTTTATCTGTTTTAACCCATTGTTTTTTGTTTTTAATTTTTGTAATTAACAGGTCGTATGAAACAGTCGTGTATAGCCCGCCAATGTCTGGCCCCAGTGCTGCCCCACACGGCCTGCTGTATGATCTGCGGCCGCGACGGGTGGGAGAAGTTGGTCGAGCCGTCCATCACCGACGAGACGGCCTCATCGCTGATGGAGTGCTCCCAGTGTTGGGAAATACTTCACCCGTTTTGTCTCAACGAAAAGTTTCCGCAATATTCTTCCGCCGATGGTATGAATGGCATTACTGTCCACACAATTATCATTGGTATTAATGATTGATATTTCAATGCTTGGGTTTCACAGCCAATATCAACGAAGATCTGCCCAACTCTTGGGAGTGTCCGCGTTGTGTGAAAACGGGCGCCAAAAATAACAATAAATACTCGAAATCAAAGGCAAACAACTCTCTGTCGGCGACCAACGCGTGGTCGTCGCCCACGAAGAAAGAGGTGGCCGTCGGCTCAGACGGACCGCCCGATAAGAAGGTGCGTTTGTCGGCGGACGACTCGCCCCCGACCACCGATGACGAGGGCGGCGACGACGACCGCCGACCCGCCAAACCTAATGTTAACAACCATTCGCTCGTCACTCGCATAAAGGATGACGTGATGGGCGACGACACCGACAACAGCAGTTCCAGCAGTCAATCGTCTGCCCAAAGGCCGTACTCTTTAGTGGCCAGTAGTTCGTCGGCTCACGTCCGCTCGTGCGCCCGATTCCCGCTTCTCAGCAAAGGTCTCAAACAAATGGTTAGCCCCGCGTTGAGCGCCGGCACTGCGAACCCTATGAACAAAAACAGCCACCTTTTGCCCAATAATAAGCCAGAAGTGAAGGGTTTGGCGGCTCTTATGGCGCACAAGAAGAAGAGCGGATCATCGAGGGATCGGCTCTTCAAGAGTCTAAAGGGCCTGAAGAAGTCGTCGGAACAGTCGTCTCGATTCGGCGGCGTCGCCAAGAAGTGCTCTTCGGGCAAATCCAACGGCTCGTCCGTCACGACCTCATCGACGACCACTCAAAGCAGTTGTTCGTCGAACTCATGCTCTTCCGTCTCGGGCTCGCCGTACGCCGTGTCTCGCAGTATGAGTCCGTCGGTCGGCACTCAGTCCGTGTCGTCGTCCGCCGCCTCATCCGCGACCACCACTACGACCGCCACTCAACACAACTTCTCGTCGATTACGACGAGTAAACTTGAAACGAAAGTCGAAATAAACGACGAGTCGACCGATGAAGAGGTGGATCCGTCGCCGCCACCGACGCTGCCATCTGTTCAACAGATCAATGGCAGTAAATACCCGAACGGCAATCGTTTTACACAACTATCGGATCTGATGCCCAATCGGGAGATAATTAAACCTAAATATGTGGTCAGTATTTCATTGAGTGCTGTGTTTTGATTGTTTGATTATAAACCCCATTCCTATTGTCTATAACTGAACTTCAGGTCAGACCCGCGCCACTCGATTGTGATATACTGTCGTCCGAAGAGTCGGAAGAGTCGTCGGATGAGACCGACAACGAAAACGACGACAACAACTCTACTACTGATACCAATAATAAAAGTATTAGAAAAGAGCGAAACAAAGCCATTCAGAAATATTTGCGCAAATTTCGCACAAAACTGGCCGACAATCTGGCGCTCGAGCGCGACGTTATGCTACCCATCATGCGATACCTGTCCCGCAATGACTTACTTAACTGTATGCGTGTCTGTAAGCCCTGGAACGGTATGTCTGACCACTGATTGTTACTGAAATGAGTGGTTTAATTGAATATCTGTTTTTATAGGCTTTTCCATTGACCCGAAACTGTGGCCACGACTGGACCTGAGCCACAAGAAGATCACGTCTGTTATACTTAAAGGGATCGTTCGCCGACAGCCCCGGCATCTGAACCTCTCGTGGACTCGCATAAAGTCGACGCAACTGTTTTGGTTGATCTGTCGTTTGCCGCAACTCCAGTCGCTATCGTTGGCCGGTTGTCACGCGTCGGCGGTGTCGGCGCTGATTACGTGCAACTGTCCGCTGATGGCGTCGTTGGACGTGTCGTGGGTCGACGGTATGGACGACGATCTGGTGCGGGACCTGCTGTCCGCGCCTAACGACTGCCGGCCGGGGCTTATGGAGTCCAAGAGTCGGCTCCGTTTCTTGAATGAGCTAAATATTGCGGGTATTTATTGTCTATACTTTTTGTTTGTGAATTGTTTTAACAATTGTATTAATTGTGTAACCGTTTGGTCTCATTATAGGCGCCCATATATCGGACAAATCAATCCGTTTGATAACACAATGCCTTCCATTTGTCACACGATTAGACTTTTCAAACAGCACTCAAATCACTGATTTGGTACACATTTGAGACACAAATAATGTGCGTTTTGATTATATCTAATGATTGTGTGCTTTGAATGGCAGGGAATCAGCGGTTTGGCGACCACCAGAGCCAAGCATTTATTGGCGCTTAATCTGAGCGGTTGTCGCCAGATATCGGATGTGAGTCTACAGGCGTTGCGCTGCTGTCCGTCGATACTGTTGCTCGACGTGCGGGAGTGTCCGCAAGTGAACCGACACGCGTGCAGTGCATTCATAGCCCAATATCCGCCGCAAACCAAACTTATTTGCAATTAATGGCCAGAAAATAGCAAAACTCGTACCGAAAATCCCATTAATATAACTGTATTTTATAGCTTAGGACTACTGGCCGTGAATTTATCGGCGATTATAGCAATCGTTTGTGTTATTTATGATATGATATGAAAAAATTATTTATTTTCATTATTTTAGACAATTATTTTTATTTTATTTCTATCCGTATTTGTATTATAATCGACATAACAATCATTGCGTAAAACAAATGGTTTTTTAGATTTTAAAAATTGTTTACTTTATGCTCTTTTGATAGTAGTTTTTGTCCCCATTTTAACTGTTTATGTATTCTTCTCAACGATTAGTGAATTGTAATTATTATTATTTTAATTATTAGTTTAATTATTAATGTATTTAATGTATATAACAAAGTAACGCATATTTATATATAAGTATCTATACTTTAAATCATATACTGATTGTAAAACTGATGTACAATTAATATAAGCCATAAAACGGATTACATGTTGTAATCAATGGAGAAAATAGTTATGTTTTTTTGATTAAAAATCGGAAATAAATCATAAATTTATTATTATTTAACTTATTTGTGTAAATAATATTGAAATCATTAATATTTGATCACTTTTTTGTATTAAGTTTAACTTTTATTAGGACACGTATGACTAGTGCCCTGCTATGTGACCACCGATATATGACATTCAATTTGTACAGTGAACTTTCCATATAGTGGTCGAGCAGTTGGTATACATTTTTGGACACTGTATAGAATGTTCACTCTATAGAATGTGTGTGGAATAGTACTGACAATAAGTGTATATACTGTTAATACTAAAATAATCATTTATTTAGATTGTTTAATGTTTTCGAGATAATATTAGAGAGTCACTATATGGAGCGGAAATAACATTACAGGCATACAGTGTCCGCCAAACTAAAATATTTTGTACACTATATGGAAAATACACTGTATAGAGAGTCACTATATGGAAAGTTCACTGTATTAAGTTTGTATTGTGGTAAATAATCTATAAATTAACCATGGTCAGTTAACATTAAGCTCCATAAAAGCAATTCACAATATTTGCTGATTTAATATAAAATTCTGGTATTTTATAAAACATTTTTTGTGTAAATAATATTGAAATCATTAATATTTGATCACTTTTTTGTATTAAGTTTAACTTTTATTAGGACACGTATGACTAGTGCCCTGCTATGTGACCACCGATATATGACATTCAATTTGTACAGTATTAAGTTTGTATTGTGGTAAATAATCTATAAATTAACCATGGTCAGTTAACATTAAGCTCCATAAAAGCAATTCACAATATTTGCTGATTTAATATAAAATTCTGGTATTTTATAAAACATTTTATTGAAATAAAACTTTTTTAAAATTCAAATTTAAACAACATTTACAAATTTAGTGAAAATAAAATCATATTATAATCACTAATATTAAGTAGAATTGAGCCGATAATTGATTACATATTTAGTAAAATTAGTTAAATATTTATAAAAACTTGATTTTAATTGAAATATATTTTTACCATTATTATAAATGCCAACAATTTTAGATGATTTCCAATCGTTGGGAATTTTAAGATCTGTTTGGATGTCAAACTCGGTGTTGAGTTGAATGGTCTGAATTTTGACCAATTTTGACAATTCAGTCAACATATTGTCTGTGATATGCAGGCAATCGATAGACAAATATTGAAGTTTCGGTAAATGATTGGCGATATTTGTGAAAAACTCTTCAGTGATGTCATCAAAGGGTGATTCGAAGGTAAAGTGTGTTAAATGTTGGCATTTATTCATTGATTCGCTCATTAAATTAAATCCTCCGCCAAAGACTCCGCAAAAATCTAATCGTTTTAAATGTTTGAAGCAATCATTTGTTTTACTAATTTGAGTGAACATTTCATGGTTACTCGAGCCATACGAGCCGAGCGATAAACTCTTGAGTTTACGGCAAATGAGGGCCAATTGTTTAAACTGATCCACAGTTATCTGTGGTTCAAAGGTAAACCGAAGTTTGAGATCAATTAATTGTGACATTTGTGACAAACAATTCACTAATCTTGAAATATTTGCGTCTTCTTTGTTAACAATTACTAAGAATGATATCAATTGTTTACTATATCTTTCCACAAATGCCACAAAATTATAACTGTTATCGTAAATAAAGCAAACTTTTCGTAATCTCTTAAACCATATCTCATTTTGGTTACCAATCAATATAAACGATGCCACAGAAAAGTTGTGTGATATTCGTGTGATATTTGGGCAACAATTGAGTCTCTGTTCAATCGCCGGATGTTCTGCGGACACATTGATGTCGTAATACTTTAATTGTTGTGAATATTTAGTGAAAAACGTGTCAATTGTTGCCACACTTTCCTCCCGTTTATACCACGAAGAGATTGAATGCAGTTTATGACAGTTCTCAACAATTGTCTCTAAACGACACATCTTTGGTATACTTTTAATAGTTGTGATGTTTTGACACTTTTTCAATATTAATGCAAATGTTTGGTCACTTATTTGGGAATCAAATTCAAATGAAACCTCTAATTGTGTCTTACAGATCACTTTCTGCCACTTTTTGGACACGCATTCAAATCGGAACCGCTCTTCGAGTGGTAAATAAGACAATAGTAATGACAAATAACATAAGTCATCGTCACCGAGGAATCTGTCAAATGATTGTCTCCATTCGCTTTCGCTTCTTCTTCTCTTCAATGCAAACCATAATTCATTGAAATCTATAATAAGTTTAGAAATAATATTAATATTTATTACAAATTGAGATAAAATACTAATTATTTAATTTAAATTATACTTACATTGAAACCAAACTTTAATCACAAACAATAAAATGATTAAATAAATCGTATCCATAACTCAATTCAGCGAAATATATAACACAATTAAATGAGTAATTAATAAAATCAAACGTTTATTTGAGATATAAATTTAAAACACGTTTAAATAAATGATTGAAATCAAAGTTTAAATCCAATACACAAATAGTAAATAAATGGCGTAAATCACTTGATTTGCATTTAATAGTTTAGAAAATTGTGTCTCAATTTATTTATTAAAAACAATGTATTTTATATGCAGTACTTCTCAGAGGTGTGGAAAATAAGCACAAATTTTTATAAAAATTTAGTCAACTCTAGGGTTGGCAATATGACAAACCACGTATTTTACGTACGTAATTTACGTTGTATTTTACAGTGTATTTTACGTACACCAATTTTTCATTTTGTAAAATACGTTCTTATAAAAATAATAATCGATTAAAATCAGAAAATCAAAACTAAAATCAATTGTTTTGGGCTATTTTACAAAAACTAATGACAAATATTGATGCAATTTTTGCCGAAAATCAATGATTAAATCAGCAACTCGTATAAAATATAACTTTCTTATAATCGGAATTTACTGTATACAAATTTAATAAGATATATAAATTTAGAAACAATTAATTTAATTGTAAAATATATAATAATTAATGGTGAATTAGTTTTACCGGTAAAAGGTTTTACCACGTATAATTAGTGTAAATAATGCAATTAACAAGGCCTTTAATAAGGCGCTCTCACAATAAGTCGCTCTCACGCTCCCTCTTTCTGCTCCCCATTGACTGAACCCATACAAAAGCATTCATACACACCCACAATATCATCCAATAATAAAGAGGGAGCGAGATAATGTGAGAGCATCTTATTAAAGGCCTTGTAAATAGCTTAATATTTAGCCTTAAACTATGTTAATTTTTTCCCCATAGTAAGTAAAATTACGTGTATATTACGTGCATTTTTGTATTTTACAATGTAAATTACGTAGCTTCAAAAAAATCCTTGTAATTTACCAACCTTAGTCAACTCTAACTGTATAGAAACAAGTGTTTGAATTTTACACTAAAAACTACAACTTTTTTAGGTTCAGTCATATTCTGGGATTGTTTTTAACTTAAATTGTTCTTCATCTCTGACTTCATAGCAAAAAATGTTTGATTTTTACACTAGAAATGAATGCATTTTATCTCAAATACTTGAGCTTAAGTCATATTCAAGAATTGTTCTTGAATTAAAAATTTCCCTCAACACTGGTTGTATATCAGGAGAAGTGCATTAAACAAGTCATATATTTAGTACAATTAATATAAGCCATAAAACGGATTACATGTTGTAATTAACGGAGAAAGTAGTTATGTTTTTTGATTAAAAATCGGAAATAAATAATACATTTATTATTATTTAACTATTTTTTATTGATTATCTGTAAATAATGTTTAAATCATTAATATTTGGTTACTATTTATTAATTTAAATTGAAATGACTTTATTTCTTGTACTGAATTTTACTTGTTTGAGGAATTGTATGATTAGTGCTCAGGTATGTGACCACTGATACCGCTTTAAGACCTGTTGGACTATCCCTTAGGAGGACTCCCAATGACTCAATGATAAATGATATACTGAGTTAAATATTTACAGATTTAGTAGACATAAAAATTAAAATTTTAATGATAAAAATTTTATAAATATTTTTATACATTTGATTTCATTTTAATCAAAAATATCAATGAGTTATAAGACATATCAATCTATAATTAGACTTCTTTTAACCACGTTTAGCGAACAGATATATTTGCTTAATACATTTAAAGTTGACCATGGTGTTTAAACATCAAAAAGCTTTGACCGTGGTCAAAATAATACTGGGATTACTGCATTCATTAGTGATTATTGTTGACTCTGTATTAATGATATATTTGGTTGTACTGCTGATTAAAGTGTCCGCTACACAAAAGGATCTAAGCGATTATCAACATAAGCTAGGTAATTTGCAAATAATTGCACAATTTTAATAAGTTAATAATTTTTGCAACAATATAAAACAATAGGTACAGAAGATACTTGCTCAAAAATACTGTTATAAATATAACATGTCTAAATAAATTTACAATATAAAATATATATTTTAGAAGTTATCTGTAGATATTAATTATATAACATATTATTATACACTATTGTAAACTATTATAAACTAATAGGAATTATTTATCAAACAAGTATCATTAAAATTATATATGGTTAATTGTTTATAGTTTTAAGCTCGCTTTTTTGGAGCATTTGTTTTGAGATTTTTACTATCAAGTTTAAATAAAAAATAACTTTTACTTTTACCCCGATATAGTACA